TTACTTGTTATAGTGGCACTGATACTCAAGGTAGTCAGGAATTTATTCAAACCTTTTCATTTTGACAAATATATGGTTTGATATTGAATGATTGTACGTGCATAACCTAAAAACCATTTGTTCCCCAGCCTTGCCTGGCTGGCCAAAATCCAGCCAGCGATGACCACTTTCTTAGTCAGTAAATTTTGCCATCTACCCATACTTTGCGACAACTCTGAGTATGTGCCAGTGTGTAAGGTATGATTTTGAATCACTTAAGTCTGAGATTGGGTTAAAATTTCAGACTGGTTTGGTCTACATTAATGATTCATTTTCTGAGAAAATGATTGCTATTATCAAATTTATTCTAGACTAGGAATTGACACTTTGAATTGAAAGGACCTTTTATAGATAGAAATATAAATCATGATGGTAACATTTAAAGCAACTAACTGTGACATGAGGAAAGCAGCAAGCTTCGGATAGGCTAGGAAACTTTGGCTTGTACATTTAGTCTAGAAAATCCAGTTGAAGAGTCCAGGTGACACAACCCCCACCCATAAAATGAAAGAGTACCCGCCTCTTGTAGGCTTTGGAGAGTAACTAAGAGGGATCAATATTGTGCATTCTTCCGTGGACAGAAAGGCTATAAGGAGAAAGTAAACGATTAACAGAGGGTAAATTATTGTATTGATGGGACTCTAAATTCTCATTAAGTACTGCTATAGTGAAGACTGCAGCAATCATTGAGAAGCACTGCTATTTAAATCTGAGTATCATTGTTACTAAAGTTTGTGGTTTCTTCGCAGTCTGCAATTCTTGAAAAAATATGGATATCTACAAACTAGATTTTAGGTGTGGATAAAGTAAATATAAATAACACATGTAAAGGGAAAGTCTGGAAAATGAAGGAGAAAAGTTTGGAGTTTTTTTTTTTTTGTAAGGTACAAAAAGTGCTTTATTTTGAGGCAAAATCTTTGTCATCTGATTGAATTTCATGTCAATTATTTTGTCAACCAAAATGTTGATTCTCTGAATCTCAAGAACCCTTTATTCCCTCCCACCAACATTAATATTGTTTATCTGCATGGCGTCACAGTTACTCTGTTTTCATAGTATATGTTGGTTACATTTTCGTTGGTGTTTCCTTTGGCGTGGTATTTAGCTCATAACCTTAAAATACTGGTGCATACAAAAATGTTTTTACATGCATTAATGTTGATGAATGCTGTATTACTTTTTGTTACTGGTGACTTTCTCTAGAGAAAGGGAATTTCATGAAAAAAATATCATTATCTGTTAGAAATCTTACAGGTTTTGCAAAAGAATAAGCATTGTTATATGTGTAAAGATAGGTGCAGGATTTGACAAATCACTTGCCTGGACTGGCCCTCAGAAAAAGAAAGATTGAGCAACTGTTGCATCCCTTAACAAAACATTATCTTTACATGCCAGATTTAATTTTTTTTCTAAAAATGTTGGAGTAGTGGTCAAACATTGTTGAGTGGGGGTGTTTAGTCTAGATACTCAAATCAAATCTGAGAATCCCTTTGTTTTCTTCTCATTAGCTTTATGCTGATGGCCTAAAACAAGGGCATGTTAATCTTTAATTTTTAGCTTTTAAATGCCCAAAATGGTAGGAGTAGGTTTCTGACTACTGTACTTGGTAGTGTCAAGACTACATATGAAACATGTACAAACTAATTGCATGGGTTAACTTTTCTTTCCATAAGTAAGAGTCAGCTGTAAAATGCTGACTATTTGCACGGAAGTGCTACAAAGAAAATCAGGTTTCCTTTTTGCCCAGTGGGCAAGCTGTAACTGGAATGTACTAGCCCAACAGTCGTGCCCACCAGCCTGAAAAAAAATCACTAGTGCAATTAATTAAATGATTAAAAATGAAAATTAACAATAATTTGATTTCTTTCAGTTCTTCTGTAATCTGAATTTTTCAACTGTTGCCCCAAAACAACTTCACTTGCCCATCACGCAATTGAAGGATAGAATCCACTTGCCTAGTGGCAAAATCTTCTAGCCCAGGGCTACTGGGCATGGCTTTGTTTGCCTGTTCAGGGTACGAAGTTGCAACCAGCTGGTCTCCAATGTGACTGAAAATTGAGCATTGGTGACCAGAATTTTGAGGCCAGTCACCATTAGGCAACTAACTTTTAGCATCTTGAACCGGCATTCAAGGAAGTGGTTTCGTTTCAAATTGAAAAATTTTGTGTTTGGTTTCAAGTAAGAAACTTACCCCTTGTCTCTTCAACATTTTTAACTTCTGTAGAAAATAATTTAGATCAAAAATGAAGGTAAGATTACTGTTAGATGACCCCCAAAACAGTTATAATCCACGCACTGTAATCAACATTTAGTGCCGCCATGTTTTCAGTGGTTTCAACTGCCAGCCATACCATGGGCGCATGGCAGAAATACTTGCTTCCCTTTCGAGTAACATGGCCGCTTGCTTCGTGCATGGCTTCTGGAAGGCTTCGTACTGATGGCATGTAAGAAGAAAATGATGTTATGCTCAATCTCCAAACTAAGAGTGCTATCTATTTGACAAAAACTCCATTTCAACTAAATTGTAAGCTACACAATATTTTAATGCCTTTCCACATGGAATCTGACTCTTGCGATTGTTCAGGAGTGGGAATATTTTCACACGAAGAAACATCTTGAAAAACATCACATTTTTGTGTTTCGCTGTGAAGGAAAAATTTTATTGACACTTTTTGGTGACCACATTTTTCCATCGGGTGACTGAAAAAAGAATTTCAGTTGCCAGTTGGCGCCTGCCTAAAAAAGTTAATCTCGGACCCTACTGTTGCATCTGCTTATGAATAGAAACTTGAGCAGCTAATTTTGTTGAAACATTTGAGCCCTTGTTATTTGTACGAACCACGATGCTTGTATGGTGAAGCAGCTGGAAAATTCTCCAATAGGACAAGTCTGCACACTGTTGTTTATTTCATTTACTATTTGTTTATTTTTTTGGGGGGTGGGGGGATGGGAGGCAGGGTGGGGTGAGTTGGTGGACAGGGCATCAAGGTCAAATTTCAGAGCAATGACTACAGTACTTCTCCAATCTATTTTGTGTAAGTTTTCATGTGCATTGCAGTTTTGAATCATTTTGATAATGCCATTGATCTTACAGGTTTGTGGTCAAGTTTTTTGCTTGCAGTTTCTGGAAGTAAGGAAAGATTCACATAACAGATTGTTGTTAACATACTTCTGTTGCCTTCAGGTGATATTTATTGACATGAGGGGAAATTCTGTAATCGATGGAGAAGCACTTTGCAGGTACCATCATCTTAAATGAATGTACATATTTTAAATATCATATTAGGTTGCTTTCTTTGTTTTCCAAATAGTTTAATTGGTTTTCATTCCCATCATATTTTTGCTCATTGGTATTTCATTGAGTAGGCTTTCTTGTGCCACCCTTGTTTTACAATGTTGAGAAGCTGTTGATGTTTATTTCATATGTAGAAATGCCCTGTACATTATAGTAAATGTTCAATTCTTTCCCTGTTCAAGAGATTATAAGACTTTACTATAAATATTCTAGTGGTTGCTGCTCTGTTTAGCATTTATCTATGCAAGAATCAACCATGGTGAGACACCTCACTGATGTCTGTAGAATTGTGTTGTGTTGGCATCTGTTCTTGGTTTTCGTGTGCTTTCATCACTGCCATGGCCCGTGTCATAATTTAACAAAAAAATTTCTAATTAGCTACTTATGTATTCATGGCCACAAATGTCAAAGTTGTCATTTGAATCTCTAGGGATTGGTAGCAACCCATCAATACAAAGTTTTAGGCAATAATTGGCCAGATTTAGGTTTAGTAGTAATTTGCTGTGCTGCACTTAACAGCTACATAACAGATTCCTCCCTCTCGCCCTGTCTTCCACGATGAAAGGTATAAACATATTAAAGTAATCAATTTATTCCACTTGGTTTTTAGAATAATAAGAGCAAAGGGCCCCAGAGAGAACTCTATAATAATTGCTGTTGTTAAAGGAAGGTAAGAAACTGAATAAAATTGGAATTAAATTAATGTTTTGGGTATTTTTGATTATTGTAAAATGCCCAGTCATCATCACATGAAGAGAAAAAAAGTAATAGGAACACAAGTTTATTGACAGTTATCCAAACTGTCAATTGATTTAGAAATCCATCGACAAATATCTTGTACAGCTAGTTGTTGCAATTGAGTTATAGAAACATGTTCAGAAGCTTGGGAGAATGAGAAATGCTGTGGGAAAAGGAGCTGGAGGCGTTTTTGTAGTGTTTTTGAACTACAACTTTTTCAAGTTCTACCGAACTTTCATAAGTGTTTAGAACTTTAACTCAATAGAAATGTGGAGAAAATGTTTTCTATTTCATTTATAGTGCCCTGTAAGAAAAGAAAGGAAACTCATATATTTTGGATTGTCAAAATTTCATTTCTTTTGACTGTGCCAAAATTTTGCCAAGAGCTCATGCTAGTGCTGTTCTCTATCAAGTTATAAAGTAATAAATACATGGCTTTTAGTCTGAGCTTTCTCATAGGGTGTTTCTGAAGTTGGATAGTGCAGTTGATTGGGTTCTGTTATATAGAAATGTCAAACAAACCTATGTCAAGCCACAATGCACCAGATAGTTTCATATTCATGTTGTCGTTTTTCCTGTGATCTTATGTATGGATTTTTTGTTGTATAATAAGCAGCTGCAAACAATTCACTGCAAATAGCATACAGTGTACAGTTTGTGATTAAAACAATAACAGGAGTTTGCAAAACAGAATGGTCTGATCTGGCTCATGAAAGAAAATCAGTTCCAGATTTTCCCATGAAGCATTTTTTCCGCAAGTTTTGTTATATAATCTCATTATTGCTTAAGATTTTGTTGTCCTAATCACGCACCAATCTGTACATTTTACTCTGATGGAAATCTTGTAACAATTGCTATCATTGTAGCAAGGTTTTTTACTCTTACCTGACTGGAGTTACTGTACTCTCTTGAATTATATGATTCCATGGGAGTTATAACAATGCACAATTAGTTCACGTAGAGTGTTTGTTTAGTCATTGACACATTTGCATGCCGACCTATTGGTGTGGCTGGTTGAATGAAAGCTGCTTAATATTCCTAGTATAATGTGTTGTGAGCTCTTATCCCTTCAGATAAGTGTTCTTAAAATTAATGTCTTACATGTATGTAGATTTTATTTTCATTCATGACTTTTCTTGGAGTTCATTTGGTTGTGTGTTTTTTTCCACAATAATTTTATAGATTGTGAATATGTCTGGTGTTTCCTTTTACTCATCTGCATAAAGAGCTTAAAAAAACATAAATTTTGTTAGTATTACTCTTGGAAAGCTGTTGCCTTGAAAGAAACTTTAACAAACAAAACTCTAATCACTAACTACCCTCTATTGCACTTTCTAGTAAAATGAAATCCCACTGTCTTCGCAAAATTTTCACATGTGGCATCTGGACGGATCGCAGGTCTGGTTTATAGTTGAGCTCACTTATGTGCGACTTTCAAATCAGACTCTCCTTTGCAAACAAGCTACATGTGCGAAAACAATCTACCATTGTGTATCCAATAAATCTATTTTATATTACTAAAAAAAGTCTAAGCTGAAGTCATAAAGAGAAATAACGCTAAATCAATTTTGTACCAGATCATCTCTCTTGATTGCGAAGGAAAGTTTTACCTCTGAAGGTAGCAATTAAGTCAGTCTCTTTTATTGCATTCTGTGGTTTTGTCAAGTCACTGATATGGGTTATAAAATTTTCAATTAACGATTAAGCAGCTTTCAAGCAAGTAGTCACACTAGTGGAATGACAATTCTTGTTGTTAGGCATGGTTAAATAATATTTGTTGAAATACTACATGTATTTATTTCCATTTCCAGTAAATTACTGGCTCCCTGATCTTGTTGAAGGCTGCCTAACCAACTTAATATTTATGACAAAATTGTGCATTCAATATTATTTTAAATAAATTGAGGCATGTATCAGGAATTTTTTGGCAGTTTTCACCGACATAATTTTATGGGTACCCACCACATTGGTAGCTCAAGATTTAAGTGATCAAGCTTACTAATAATGATTGTAGACACAAATGAAAAATGTGAGTAACTGAAAGACATTCTTTCTTTTTTTTCTACTCAACTTTTTCAGTAAGCCTTTAATGGTCATTTGGGATTTTACTTGAAAAAATTCTTTATTAGTGACATAGGTGTACAGATATCTGTTTAGTGTTGTTCTGGTTTGAATTTCTGTGCACAAGTAAAGCCAGTCAGAGATAGGAATCACTGGATCTATGTCGACAGTGTAGATGTTTTGGGCAAACAGAAAGATACAAGATTGTCATGAGTGCAAAGCTAGATTGGTACCTCTTCAAGCTGGTTATGTTCATCATATTTATGTGGAGGTCAAGTAGACAAGTTGACATGGTGTTTTCTGGGTTGTTTTTGTGTTTTTTAGCCCACGTAGTGACGAACCCTTGATGCTTCCTCTGTTGAAGGCGGGATTTGACAAGGTAAGATTGCACACTCCCTTCACAAAAACAGCAAAGCAGTTGGAACATTTATGGAATTTCGTTAACAACTTTACTGTTAACTTTTCCCCAGCGTTTTGTGGAGAACGCCAATGTTGGGGCCTGTCATAATGAGCTGTTAATGTTGGAACATGGAGAAGTCCAGTCGATGTTGAAACTTCGGGCAACTAGCTGTCTTTTCAGTGCAATTGAGAACTGTCAGGATGCTGTGGAGATTACCAGCCTGGACCATGATAAGTCTGAATTACAGGTAGAGGTACAAACAAACAATCATGATTTTAAAATCATTCATTTAGATGTCATTTGCTGATCAATGTAAACTGCATTAGTTGTATAAAGCTCAGTCATGAGGCTGAGCAGAGGTTGATACTAGTAATAGCCTACTTGGTGTATCAAATGTGAAATTGTACTCATGTCATTGATTTAAAGAAGCTCTGACACACCCAAATCACTTTTATGGAAAAATAATTAAACAAATCTTCAAATAGGTAGAAATCTGGGAATAACAGTTTAGCACGATAGGAAAAAACGTAGGGGAAAAACAGTGATTAATGATAGGGGAGGACTAACGAGGATTATAAGTCACCCTCCCCCCCACCCTTACTGAACTTAATATGTTCAATAATATGCCATATACAAATGTATGAAGTCCTTCTTGGGAGATTATTATTTCCTACTTACACATTGATTAAGTACTGTCTCTGGTAGTGGGAATGGTCATGGTGTTTTGGAGCAAATATTGGTTTCGAAGATATATGACAAGTATTGGTTTAACCTAAATCAAGACTTTATTTATCCACAGTAAAAATTAAAGCTATAAGCTTATGGGGTCATGCACTAAAATAAAAGAAAGTCAAAACATCAGTTTTAAGATGGGTTTTGTGTTGCACTTCAGTATGTTAACCCTGCATTTGAGAAAATGACTGGTTACTGGAGGTCAGAAGTTGTTGGACATCCTCAGACCTTAGGGATGAATAGTGAACATGAAAAACCTGTAAGTAATGAAACTTAAAACTTGTTATCCACCTAGTGAACTATTTCTTTTTCCAATGCATTTTCCAACAGTAACATTGTGACTGCTATAAGTGGGCCAATGAAGGCCTAAAACTACACCACCTTGCAGAGAGGAAATAGTACTTGATGCAATTGAGGACTTTTTCTATGTTTACGTGGCCTTGACTAAACATGAGGGGGGTTGAGAGAATTTAAGACAGTTAATATGCAAACCTAAGATGTTCCTATGTTCATTGTGCCAGTCAGTGATCCCTTTGGTTTTGGTTTTACAACACTTACTCTAAAACAACTCTACAAGGTATCAATATTCATCTATCAGGTCTTTTGTAGAAACAGTAATGTTCATTGACTAATTTTTTTTTTATTAAAGGTTGCCATTAATCCACTTTCAAATGGCCAGGCCCAGAGCTCTAACTGAGGGTTGATCACAAACCTCAACATATCTTGATTGCATAATTTTTTCTGTTATAGGAATCATATGAATCAATACAAGCACTACTGAAGAAAGGGAAGGTAAGCTGTTGTGATCCTAAGTGTTTAAGAAGTTACTGCAGAAAGTTGCTTCAGTGAAATCAATTACCATAAAATAAACTGTTTTTCATCTATTGCTGGAGGGAAAACTTCACACTGTGGGACAGATGATTTATGATCTCATTTTTTCAAACTACAGACAGCAGCTATTGGTACATTAGACACTTTTTCCCAGTATCTTTTGTGTATTAGGGTGATACAATTTCTTTTGACAGCTAGATCTTGTTTTTGTGTCTGTTTCAGCCGTGGGATGGCAAAGCTTTTGCAAAAAAGAAAAATGGGGAGAGCTTCTTACAAAGTGTGCACATTATTCCAGTTATTGGAAAAGGAGGGTAAGGACAAAATTTATGCAGTTATCTACATAACAGCACTGATTCTCTGGGCTTACTCAATCTGGTACCAAGTTAAACACCTTTCTCATGAAAATATCAAATCATCAAATAAGAACTTAACATTTATTACAGAAAACTTGCTAACTATTGATAAAAGGAGGAATTGACTATCAACCAATAGATTGGTCATTATAATAATAATAATAATAATAATAATAATAATAATAATAATAATAATAATAGTAATACAAAACTGTTTGCAATAACAATTGTGTTCAAATTGTTAAGAAAACGAGGCAAAACGTAGTTTGCAGAAATGGATAAATTGAGAAAACCTGAGAATTGGAATGACTTTTAGTAATAATAATAATAATAATAATAATAGTAATAATAATAGTAATAATAACAAAAAATAATAATAATATTAATATTAATGATGTTAATATTGATATTAATATTAATAATAAATAGTCTTTATGGAGGAAGCTCCCTTCAGACTCATAGGCCATTTTCAGTATATTAAAATTCTAACTTTGCTATTGGCGAGGCTTGGGTAAACAAACAAAAGAAATCAATTATTCATCCCTCATCCTCAATGCTATTTCTTTTATTTTATTTCCCCAAGCCTGAGAGCCAAGGTAGAATTTTAATACATTGAAAATGGCCTCTTGGTAGACTTGTTGGCTAACAGTCGTTGACCTATGAAAAAATATCTTGTCATGGCTTTATCCAAGATTCAAGTGCGACATTTGCACTGTTATTTACATTCATACATACATACACACATACATACATACATACATACATACATACATACTTTATTGGTTCATCACCACAGGGCTTTTTAGAGTCAATGTTGGGTTATAAAATTTAAATAACACAGAAAGCTAAACACATGACAATGATAATGTCAAAAGAAGACAAAGGTTGAATAAAATTAAATAAAACGGTCATTAAGAAACTTTCGCCTGAGTAGGCGCTTGAAATCTGTTATGGATGGGCTAAGTTTGAGTGCAGGCTGCAACTCATTCCACAGAGAGGTCGCTCTATATTAAAAGGTCTTTTGGCCACTAACAGTGCGGAAGAGTGGTATGTTCAAGAGTTGAGAGTTCCTGGTACCGGTAGTCCTTATTTAAGCAGTGACCTGGCACACTACAGAGATCTGTCCTGACTGTCAACCTAACTGTTGATCAATAGCATTCTTCCACTAATTTCTTTTGACTTGTAGGAAAGTTGCACACCATGTGACAATCAAAAGAGAACTTACTCAAAACAACCCACTTAATCAAGTCAATATGAACATGGAGCTTAACATGCACATGGAATCAGTAAGTGTAACTTATTACTCTCATCTGTGCTTAGGAAGCAAGGTCAGGCAGTTTTAGGCAATTCTGGTCAATGCTATGTGGCCCTTAAATTAAATGCATAAAACCTAAGTGATTGGAAAGTGTAGAATAACAATGTTGTCTTTAGTCATTACTTCCTACATACTTCAGTGTGCTAAGTGGTCCAACACTAACACATATCAGTAGAACACTAACATCAGACCTGCACTTGTAAGGGTTGTATTTCTTCCAGCCACTTTGTACATCACTTCCATTATAAATGTTTCATATAATTACCTTGAAATTACAGTCAGCCAAGAATAAAGCATAGCTTAGCAGCTTTTTACTTACCCCACAATTAAGGTATTAAGAGCAGATTTCTCTAACGGTCACCTATACCTATGCAGGATAGAAAAATTGGATTTTCTGAAACTTTGTCAGGAAGAAGGTTTTTACTAACTTATTTCAAAACTGTACCTTAAAGGTTGTTTGGATTTTTATTTCTTGTGGAGATGGTCTTATGTATTTTGTCCTGAAAAGAGGACCACTTGACCCCACACTTTTTGTGAGTGCTAACAAGCCAAAATAATAAGCATTACTGGAAAAGCTAACCCATAGTACTAAAATATCATCTTTGAGTAGTTATTTAACGTTGTCAGATCAGCATGAAATTTAAACCTGAATTTTCAGCAAATTTTCAAAATTATATGCTTTGATGATGTTGTGTCACGTCAAAATTTAGGTCAATTTCGTGAACCAGAAAGTCAATCTGGTACATGGATTTACCTGTCCAAACTATTTTTTTTTATCAAAATTAAGATAAGAATTCACTCCAAGTGTTTCATCAACTGTGTATTCCTCTAGTTTTCTCAAAGATTACTCTCAATGCTGATTTAGTATCGGATATTTTGTTGCGTGTGTTGTCTGTAGTCACCGACCGCTAAATGTATGATTTTTTATTCAAAATAAACATCTGCTGAAAAGGCTCGTTTGCAGCCTGATACGTATTTTCAATTACAGTAACTGATCTTAGAGACCTAAAAATTATTTTAGTGGAGATAAGACCCACAGGCAAACATTTCTGGATCAATGCTGGACATAGTGATTGTGGCGTGAAAGGTAAAAATGTCAGGTGATTAGCTTAAGTGCCTAGTCTTCGAGACGCTCTCAAGTTTTTGGTTTTATTTACCCATGCTAGATTTGTGATAAAAAACTTAGCTTAAGGGCCCATTAACTGATCTTTTTGAGCTGTTGCTAAGGAAAATTGAGTCTCATTTAACCTCATCATTTTTAGTTAGTTATAGTTATTTCATGTGTTTTAACTTTTTCATGATCAGTAACACTAGTTGTGATGTCATCAGGGCACGCCCATGGTCATGTGACTAATACAGAAAAAATGCAAAGGCTCCCAGGATGTAATGAAAAACTGTGTTTCCTTTAGCATTTTAAGAAACACTACCAGTGCACTTTGGTGAGATCAAACAAAGCCACACAGAGTTAAGTGAATTTGCAAGTTTTTGAGTTGTTATTATTTTCCTTGCTCAGGCTGACATAAGTGATCGGAAGTGAAATTTCAGCTCCTTAGCAACATGAGTGAGCATGCGCATGAATTGGTTAATGGGCCCTTAAGGGATACTTTTAACCAGAAAATTAGTTTGGGCGGGTAAATCCATGTACCAGATTGACTTTCTGGTCCACGAAATTGACCTAAATTTTGATGTGACGCAACATCATGAAAGCGTATAATTTTGAAAATTTGCTGAAAANCCTCATCATTTTTAGTTAGTTATAGTTATTTCATGTGTTTTAACTTTTTCATGATCAGTAACACTAGTTGTGATGTCATCAGGGCATGCCCATGGTCATGTGACTAATACAGAAAAAATGCAAAAGCTCTCAGAATGTAATGAAAAACTGTGTTTCCTTTAGCATTTTAAGAAACCGGAAGTGCGCCCAATATCTATTGGAAGTAACCCTACCAGCGCACTTTGGTGAGATCAAACAAAGCCACACAGAGTTAGTTTTTCTCTTTTTATTGCTCTTGTTTTTCTGTCTTTCTCTTACTTTGTCTTTGCTTTTTTTACATTGCATTTTGTGAAACACAAAGAAAAGCATCTAGAATGTAAGCGAATTTGCAAGTTTTTGAGTTGTTATTATTTTCCCCGCTCAGGCTGACATAAGTGATCGGAAGTGAAATTTCACCTCCTTAGCAACATGAGTGAGCATGCGCATGAATTGGTTAATGGGCCCATAAGGGATACTTTTAACCAGAAAATTAGTTTGGGCAGGTAAATCCATGTACCAGATTGACTTTCTGGTCCACGAAATTGACCTAAATTTTGATGTGACGCAACATCATGAAAGTGTATAATTTTGAAAATTTGCTGAAAAATCCAGATTTAAATTTCATGCTGATCTGACAATGTTAAATAACTGCTAAAAGATGATATTTTCAGGGCTCGAAATTAACTTTTTTGTTCAGGAGCCAGCTGGCGACTAACGGAAAAATTTTGGTCGCCAGGTCATAAATTTTGGTCACCAACTTATTTTATAAATAACTTACCCAAGTACATGATTTTATATGTTACTTTGCATGCAAGAAAAGTCACAACTGAAGAGTGAAAACAATTAGAAACAACACAAGTAACACTTACTTATAAAGCCACCGTTGTTCTCAGGTGATATGTCTCTGGTCCGAAGGTGATGGTTGTCTCCATAGTCATTTTAATTGAAGTGAAGCATAAAACGTTTTAAGTCCGTGGTTTTCATTGTGAGACAAACATGGGTCCTTGTGTATTTTCCCTTTGCTACTTCTTCGAAATGCTGT